GACATTGGTAAACTTGACTCTGACCATCACTGATCTCACAGGCAGGTGTGAGGTCATCAGCCCAGCCTTGACGTGCAGCACAGAGACCTAGAATCTCTCCCTTCCCCATCCCATTGTCTCATGGTACTGGCAACCTCAGCTGACGTCATGGACCAGAAAGAAGCAAACTGAAAACCCAGGGAAGGGGAAATCCTGGGCTTTTCTTCCTGGGTATGTAAAATGTGCACACAAATAAAATGCCTCGATAGACAGAAAAGAGAAAGATGAAAACTTCCGTACACAAGGAGTGCAGTGTGGGAAGGCAATATGAAACTTCATAGAGAAACTCAACAAAATTCCCCGTCAGGTGACCAACAGTGGAGTGAGTGGTAAGGCAAGCAGGCAGCACACACCCCCCCCCCCCCCGAGAGGACACTCACAGCAACCACCGAAAGCCCAGAGCCACGACTGGACCACAGAGAAAAACATGGAGAACAAACAAACAAAAAGCAGTAGCAGGCACCCTACAGTATGAGAGGTATCAGAGAGGTCTGAGACGCACAACTTTATTTTCATATTGAAATATTTGTTCCTGTAAAATGTGGTAAATTTTCTGAATTCAGGGTAAGACACTAAAATAGATTCCAGGGTTGGGGAAAACAAAAACAAGAAACCCCAGGATCATCTGGGCTCTGAGGCGGGGGAACAGCATTGTGAAGCCCTCCTATTAAAGTCCTTAGAGCAGTGGTTCTCAACCTTCCTAATGCTCCAACTCTTTAATGCAGTTCCCCATGTTGTGGTGACCCCCCTCAATCACAAAATTATTTTGTTGCCATTTCATAACTTTATTTTGTAGTTACGAATCATAATGTAAGTACCTGATGTGCAGGATACCTGATACGCAGCTCCTGTGAAAGAGCCATTATAACCCACCAGGGGGTTGAAAACTGATCTTAGAAATTCCGGCTTACCAACTTCTTTCAGCCTATGCCCAGAGAAGATCCATGCCCAACAGGGCTTCTGGGGGTCTGTGTGCACTGTGGCTGCCACTGCCACTGCCATTGACTCTTAGTCGTCTAGAGTTAACAGGTGAAGACACTGAAACACAGATAAAAAGCAACTTGTCCAGAGATCACCCTGCTAGTCAGCAGCAGCACAAGCTTCAAAACCAGGCAACCTGAGCTGTAAAATCTTCACCCTTCCTTACCTGTCATCCCATCTCCCTCCATTTACCCATCAGCTTAATGAGAAAAATACAAACACACAGAACTCTGCAACTGGAATTGTAGAGACATAGGAAAGGAAGACTATGTAGGAATTGTTCTTTTGCTGCAGCTAATGCCTATAAAACACAAACAGCGCCCATGTGGAGTTTATTGAGAGGGGGGAGAAAAAGGGGGGTAGCTGGTGGCCAACCGAAAGCAGGAGAGAGAGAGAGAAAGAGCAAGAGAGAGGGGGGCCAGAGAGAGAGAGAGGCGCGCTTGGCGTGCTTGCTTTAAAAGGGGGGCTTGCACATGGGGAACTGAGTCCTCTGGCAGCCAGGTAAAGCCTGACATAATGGTGACATGGCCATGAGCATCCCGCCCATCATTGGGGTCAGGGTCAGCAAGCTGTTAGTTCCTAACAGGAATGACTTCCAATATAAAGAAAGCTCACCAGGTGGGGTGGCGCACGCCTTTAATCCCAGTACTCAGGAGGCAGAGGCAGGTGAATCTCTAAACATGTAAGGGCAGCCTGCTCTACACAGTGAGTTCCAGAATAGCCAGGGATACGAGGAGAAATCCTGTCTTGAAAAACAAAACGAAAACCTCTACTTTCTTCTTCTTGCTCAGCAACCCCTACCCCTCTGCATGTTTCTTAGTAGAGATGTGCCAGCCAAATGTACAAATCAACTAGTTCAGGGCAATGAAGAGCTAAACACTGGGTAGAAGAGAAGTAGACAAGGCCTCAGGCTTACCATTTCTTACCCACCACATACTGACCTCTGAATTTCATAAGCAGCCTATCCAACAGTCCTTTGTCCAGTATGTCCTCCAGGGTGAGGTCTGTCTTATAGTAGCACCATCCCCAGAACCTCTTCCATCCTCTTACCAAATAGCTGCATTTGAATGCACCAGCATCAACTATACTTTCGACAGGAATCATATCACCTACTAGATCCAGCTCTTGGCCCAGAGATCTCATGACTCTTTCAAATAACAGACATTGAGCCTAGAACAGCTGTGAGAGATGTACTGGTTCAGAGAGGGGGTTTTGTGGTTTTGCTTTATTTTAAGACAGTCCTGTCTAGCTTAGGCTGACCTCAAACCTGCTGTGTAGTGAAGGATGGCCTGGAACTCCCAAATTTCCTGAGCACTAGGGTTATAGGTGGGTCACTACACCTGGCTTTGATTTTTTTTTTTTTTTTAGATTATTTGATGTGTATGAATGCTTTGCCTGCATGTACATGTGTGTACATGTATGCCTGGAGTTCACAGAAGTCAGAAGGTGTCTGATCTCCCACAACTGGAATTACAGATGATTGTGAGCCACCATGTAGGTGATGGGAACTGAACCCAGATCCTCTGGAAGGCACTGAGCCGTCTCCAGTCCCTGACTCATGGTTTTTAATCTTCTGCCTTTTACAGCCTGGGGTCAAGCAAGAGCTCAAAGTTCCAGGACTACTAGGAACTGGAACAGCTAATTGTCCCTGCTTACTGAAAGTGATGCAATTGCGATACAGTGTGATCACCATGGATTTCCAAATCTCCCTCTGCCCTTAATAGAACCTACTGAGGCAAATGGAGTGAGGGATTGCCCCACACAGGGAAAGTGAAACCCACTTTCTGCATTTCTCAGAGCAAAGTTGTTGTCTATTCCCAAAGGCCTGAGGGGTGAGGCTAGGTTCTCACCAATGGAACACCAGACCTCAGGATACCAGTCCTAATGGCCATTTCTTCTCTTGGCTCCGGCTGGGATCCCTGGGCCTCCCTACCAACCCTTTCCCGATTTCAGGGTGCTAAGCCTGAAAGAAGCAAAAGCTTCCTGGGCTCCACTGACACCACTGCATCCTACCCTCTTGTGACCTCCTAAGTCCCTAATGCCTGGCCTGGGCACCTAACCCCACCCCCACCCAGTCTCATCATAGTAGTCTGCTCTGGGGATTCTAGGTGTGTAGGTCATGCCCAGGACCACAGTACATCTCAAACGCGCTGCACTCAGCTTCTTACCTGAAACAAGAGTCGGTGTCCTCCCAGATCTCTGCACAGCTCCTGGCTGGCACTGTGCTATGGGAGGCACCTGAAAGGCACAACGGGGGTACTTCCCGGAAAGCTGACTAAGGATAGGTGCCCCACCTCTCTGACCATTAGATAAGGCAAATTATGGCCCACGTGAAATGGCAGGGCCAGGAGAGACCCTGCCCTTTATACTAAAGTGAGTGAGACATTCTAATACATGAGCTAGGTGAGTTTGGGCCACAGAAGGGGCAGTGGATTGTACAATCCAGTGAGCTGAACAGAATGAGTGGGTCCCGACTTAGAGAGGTAATAGCCATGGCTGTACTGGGAATACAAAATAAGCTCAGGGCCAACTAGCAAATGCCATGGTACGGCAGGCAGCAATGAAGACCCAAAAGTAACTGCAGCAAACAGCTACAGCAATCAGGCTGGTCCAGTACAGACTCAGCTGAAGGCAGGGCAGTCATGAGTTCACCAGACCCAAGAGAAGCGATAAATGGGTGTACAACTTACACAGATAACAGCAAAAAAAACAAACAAACTGTTGTGCCGTTCCTGCTCCAGAAGATGCAGTCTCTGCCCTTTGGAACCCACCCAAGAGAGTGTGCCTGCCCCTGCTTCTCCACCTTCCTGCCAAGTGGGCACATGAAGCCACGCCCAAAGGGAGTGTGGCCACTAACAAATTCCCTGGCAAGGTGCTCAAAGTGGTGTGGCCACTAACGCAAATTCACTAGCAAGGTGAGATGCTACTACATGCAGCCTCCTCCATTATGACACATTTCCATGAGCCCCCTCCTTTTCTGGATGCCACCCATCTTCATCCACATTCTCCTCCCAGGAGTCTTGTGGCCTCACCACTATCCTCCCTCAGAGGTAAGGCCTGTCTCTGACCTCCCCATTCCTCCTTCAGAAGCACACTGAAGGAAGTGCAATGGTAATGACTGTAATAAAGCCATTCAGCTGCTGGCTATACCCCAGGGACCATGCCCATGCCCACAGCAGCCCAGAGAGGCACTCGCCTCATCAACAGAACACTGAACTCAGAGAAGCAACTGGGTAAGACCACACTGATCTAAGTAGCAGAGCTGGCTTCTGAATACAGATCATTGTCCAGGTCCCAGGCACATCGCCCTGACTGGCTTAAAGGCCAGGGAAGAAAATGGATTGACCCACTTCTCCCATCATCATAGTCCCTATTTGAAGAGGAGACAGTACAGCTACATAGTATAAAGATCACACTTCCCTCACTCCAGGAACACTATGATGCCGGGCCAGGCCCACAGAGCCAGGCTGCTGGGCAGGGAGTTCCTCTGCCTGCCTGAACTTTGTACCTGGCCAGGGAGTAGCAGATAATACTACACAGAACAGTCTGAGAGGCCAGTGTCCTCGGGAGATAAGGATTCCTCCCTCAGCTGTGCTAGCAAGAAGCCCCGGGGACCCCTTTTCCCCTCCTACTCATCATGGCAGGGGGAGGCACAAGGCAGGAGGAAAGGCAGCCCTCCCTAACAGGAGCCAACTGGGAATGACCGAGGTGAGAAGCCAGGGTGGGCAATGCAAGACCCGCCCCACTCCCAATTCCCCCCGCCAGGCCTATGAAGTCAGAGGCTCAGACCCAATCAGGGGAGCAGCAGGGCAAGGCACAGACACTGGGATTCTTCTCCAACTTACCAGAGCTTTCACCAGCTTCCCCACGCCCACTCTGGCTTTTTCTCCTGGGCCTCCCCAGAGTCCAGGCAGGAGCTGCTGACCACACTGCCACCCCTTCCCCAGGGCCAACCAGGAAGCTGAGTCCAGACACATGGCTAACAGAACATGTTGCACTTTATTTGCATTTTTTCAGAATACTGTACAAAGGGAGTAAAAATCCTATTCACACTTTGCTTAGAAAGACCAGAAGGTAAAAGTTCCCTATGATACATGGGGTTGAGAATGAGGGTCAGGGGAAGGAAACAGGGTGAGTGATTTCCCTCCATCCCCAGGAGAGGGCTCAGACACCCACACCTTTTCACAGGAACATGCCCCAGTCGAACCAGCGAGGGGAGAAGACAGCCCCTCTTCAGCTTAGCCTCAGGCTCTGTGACCCACCTCTCTTTTGGGCTGAGAAGACAGTGCCTGCAGCTGTCCCTACTAGTGCCCTGTTTGGGCAGGGATCCTATAGCACTGTGGAGCCCGCTGACCTCGTGTGGAGGTGGCCTCTTGGCCCCTCACATGCATGCCCTGGCACAATCTACATGAGAATACGAGTTGAAGGGCTGAGGATGAGCCACCCATGGAAACTTCCTCATATACAGCTAAGGGAAGTGTCCAGCTGGGCCTGTGAGTCCTCCGGAGGACTCACAGGCCTGTTCCAGCCTGTGCACGCCCTCACACCAAGCCAGGAGCTTCAAACCCAGGGGCCGCTCTCCCCCATCACCATCAGTCTGTGGGTAAATTAATCCTCCAAGCCAGCTCTCCTTCCAGCCCACATCCCAAAGGAGGCTGGGTCTGGCTTCCCCTAGCCAGATCCTCTTTTTTACACTGATTCACATCAGCTGTTGCCATCTTGGCAATCCTAAGACCCCACCCTACCCCTGATCAGAGCTACCCTCTCCCCAGGACCAGAGCATAGCGTCTGGACCCCAGCTCTACACAGGTGCCCCCCAACCCCATCTTCCTTCCCTAATCTTCCTCCTACCCCATAGCTCACCCAGGGTGGGTTGCAAGGAAACCATCAAAGCCTGACTGCTCTACCTAGAGGGCGGAGACTGTAGCACATGTGTTTCCAATACATACAAAAGTGAGTTTCACCCCGCACACTCAAGACTGAGGGGGAAACAAAGCAGAAGCTGTACCGTCCCTCTGCCCCATCTCAGGGGCTAAAGTGCTATGGCTGCCTGAGGGTAAACAAGCCAACAGGGGTTTTTCCTGGCTTCCTGTCCCAACTTTTGAGGTCCATGGTCAGCCGGAAAGCCCAGCCCCTTTCATGACCACCCCCAAGGCATCTCTATTCAAAAGGCAAAAGGAAAAGATCAAAAACTTCAGAATGGGTTAGAGCCCAAGGGCCCCACCCTAACCCCACTACAAGCTACTCCAAGTCGGCTACTGGGGAAGCGAGGGGGAAGCCAGGCCCAGGGCACACCCCCATCTCTGGCAGTGAGTGTCCAGAGGCTCCTGTCTTCAGCATCACAGCAAAGGCCTTCTACCCTTCCCCTGCCAACCTGGCTGAGGAAGGGGCTACCACCTCAGTACTTATTGATTCCAAAAATCCGGACTCCATGGAGCTGGGGCAGCTTGGGGATGAGCACACTCATCAAGGACACAGTGTTGAGTATGAAATGGACTTGGTCATACTTGGTGTAGAAGCTGGTGAGGAAGTACCTGGGAGGGGGATGCACGGAGATAGAAAATAAGGGTCCCAGATAAGAAATGGAGTGACAAGTCCCACTCCTGACCCCCCCCCCAGCTTACCCCAGGCCTATGGGTCTGTCTCAGGCACAGAGTTGAGGAAAGGGGGGAAAGGGAGGCCCAGGGGCCGGGGTGAGACCCACGATATGTCCCTTCCTTCCCTCTGCTCATCTCTACACCAAGAGCCAGAGCTGGGGAGAGTCCGAGCCCATCTGCGCCCACCGACTTGACCACGCCTGCTGGTGTCTCCCACAGCCAAAGCACAATAGCACTCACAGCACAATAGGGGTGATGGTCAAGAACTTCCTAGAGGCTGTGAACTGGACTCCATAGTCCATCTGCTCCCAGTGGGTCAGCAACCTTGCTTTGCCCTGGTCTGGAGTCTCGAAGGGTGTCCCTTTCACCGTGTGCAGGAAGATGTACATGCCCTGAAAGGAGGGACCTTCGTCAGAAAACACAAAAGGCAAGTTGACTCCCAGCCTGGCTTCCCCACCCGTCACACACAGAAGCAGCTCCAGGTGGCCTGCCACCATCCTCTGCTGCAGTGGCTCAGGCAGGCCGTCTCAATATACAAGAGCACCCGGGAGCCCATGTGCTGGGAGAACATGGAGGCTGCATGGGGAGGAGTTAGCTACAGGATGGGCATACTCGGCTGCCCTCCAGCCCAACTGGGGTCTCTACATGTCAGCTAAAAGGAGCAAGCCAAGGAAAGAGGACTGCCCTCTCTGCAGGGGTATAAGCAAGCACGTTTTAGGGAGCAGAGGCTCAGGAGAACATGGTTTGAGATCCTAACCTGGGAAAGGAACATTTCTGCACTAGATTGCTGGGACCTGGGGGCAGCCTCAACAAGGACTCAGCTCTCAGGTGTGTCCTCCAAACGGACCCGGCAGCCAGCCCGGAGACACCGGTTACGTGGAGATTTGACTCTTGTAGGTATGCTACAGCCCACAAGGGGGAGCAAGGCCGAGATAAGAGCTGGGCCTGGGCTCAGGTGACAGATGTTGTCAGGACCTGCTTGCTGTCTGTCCCATGAGAAGCTCCTCCTATCGCTCAGCTCTGGCACAGAACAGGCCATATGGTCGGAGACTGACAGTAAGCAGGCTCTCACCAAGTTGTGGATAAGGTTGGTGAGGGTCCAGACGACAGGGACGCTCACAAAGGGGATGCTGAGCAGCACGACATGCAGGAGTCCGATGGCCAGCACGTACGAGAGCCAGATGCCACGGCTGTTCATCACCCGCGTGTTGGGGTTCACCTCGCTGTGTGCCGTGCCCACATTCATCCTGCCACCCCTCTTGACTGCTGCTCTGCAAACAAGCAACACAGGTGAGACAGGTCACGCCACTTTCCCTGCCCCCTCACACCCTGAGCCCCACAGAGGAGGCCTCTGCGTCCCTGAGAGCTCCACGCCACTGTCCACCGGTTCCTTCTCAAGGCCAGAAGCCGCAGAAAGTCCACATAAAAGTAAGGCTAGTCGTTTCCCGTTGCTGGGCTGGGATTGACACCAGGCTGGCATACGTATCCCCCACTGGGGCTACATGCTGACAAGGTCTAGGAGAAGTCACCAAGAGGTGTCCAGCCCAGACGATAGCAATCAATGTCCAGTCCCCAATCTCACCCCCTATAGCACCCTGAGGCCCTCTCCCTCCTGGGGTGAGGAGAGAGGCCTGCTCTCTCAGAGCTCTCACTCAGAATAACCTCTGCTGGCTCTCCCTGGAGAGCTGAGTGGAGACATCCCCTACTCTAAGCCCCTCCCCATAGGAGTAAAAGCAGGGAGGGGCTGTGGGCACAGGCATCAGTGGGTGAAGTACTTTGGGGCTACTGCTCCCACCACCCCTATTTCTCTAACCCTAGATTTCCTCAAGCCCAGGCCCAGGAGGACTGACAGGGCAGGGAGAAGAGCGGAGACAAAACAGCAGGCCCAGGGACAGCCTCTGCTCAGACCTACAAACGTTTCGACACAAGATGGCCCATCCACTGGGGCATTTTAGCCATTTGGCATCTGCTCAAGCTAAATCTCTTGGGGTGTCACCATTAGGCCGCCAAACCAGCAAAGCCCTTTACCCCACCAGAGAGAGAGAACAGAGCACACGGCCAAAATCTATATTTCCCACAGGTGGGATGAGGTACCCGTATCAGCCAACTCCTCCCAAGGATACAAAACTACCTGCGGCCTACCTCCTACCTCCTCCCTTCTTGGCCCTACCTGACCTCACCTCCCTTCCTAGCATCTGTTTGTGGGTGTGAGTTAACAACAGCCTTCGCTTGTCCAGCTCCAGTGGTAGAAGCTCTACAGCACAAGGAAACAAAAAGTCTGTGATGCCCAGAAAATAATGCCAGCAGCAACCCACAGTGGCCAGAGGGGAGAAGAATGCTCTGTCCCTTTTCCTGGGAGCTTGGCTGTCCCCAGACTTCTGAGCACCCACTGACTAACCAGCAGAAGATGGATACAGAAGGCATTGGTGTGCTGGGCTTACCTACGTGGCTTAGGGTCCTGCCTGATAAAGACCCCCCCAGGGCATTACTGTGCTTAACAACGCCACCTTTTCAAGATGTACAGAAAGGAATAGCAGCCAGACCAGCTCCCTTACCCCGCTACAACCACCTCACCCCCAGACTCAGACGCTATCTCACCCAGCTAGGATTCCGGCCAAGCCTCCTCCACAGGAGCCAGAAATTCTCTCAGATAAGTTCCTTACTTAAGTATAATGGAAGCAAGTTTCCTCTTCTCAGATACTTCGGGAAACAGAACCCACAGCAGTTCCCCAACAAACAGACCCATGTGCATCCTGAGACCAAACCCCTGGCCCATTAAGATGGATAATTGGTCCCAACAGAAACCCAAGGAACTAGAAAACCAGTTGTTTACCTTCCCCCAGCCCTTAGGGCTCCAGTTACCCTAACTCAGCCCCTGGGACATCTACTGTGCAACAGCGTCCACGTGAGGGGCAGGGCCTGAGATGTGAAATCTCTGGAAGACCGAGGGAGAAAAAGAGCTGTTTCACCAGAAACTGCTGCCCCTTCCCCGAAGCCAGCCTTCCAGCAGCACAGCCACAGACAGGACTGCCTCACACTTTGTTCAGGAGTGCCCAAGGTCTGTCTGAATCCCAACTTTTCAAGACCCTCCACCCCTTTCCGGCTCAACAGGGCATTTCACAAAGCCTAGCTGACCCCGTGGGAATCGTCTTTCTAAAGCCTGAGTGCCAGATGCCTTGAAACCAGGAGACCCCTTGCAACCTCTCCCACCATGCACTCCCAAAAAGACTGGGAGCCAGAAAGTGCTTCTGAGACTTCCCTGTGGCTATGTGTACATGTCACTTCCATTGGTAAACAATTGACCTTTCTCCCATAAGTGAAGAAATACGAGACTGGCAGAGGCAGAAAGATCTGGAGCAGCCAGACTGAAAACTTCTGCTGCCACAGCTGGCAGGTGGCTGCCAGCACCAGATCCTGTAGTTTCATAACCTGCCTCAAATCAGAGCCCGAAGCAACTCGGTTCGGTTAACCACTTTTTTGCTATAGCTCTTTTCCCTTCCCCGTCCAGGCCCAGCCAATCTGTTAGACACTCCGGTAAGCACTTTTCATTCCCTCCCCGGCTTAAGGCTGGCCCTTTACACAGCAAACCTGGTCCCAAGAGATCCCAACAGGGAATTCATGCAGCACACAATACCGTCTCTTCCATTCGGCCCACCCTCAACTGCAGGACCATGGTTGTGCTCGCTGGTCCAGACTCCCCACTAATCAGGAGCGAGGAAACTCCTTCCACAGGGTCTCTGGCTCTGCTCCGCAGCCTGGTTGGCACCTCGCACTAGGAGCCTGGCCGGGTTCGGGGCCCAACCACCATCTCCAAGCATTCACTCAGCACTCAGCCCGGGAGGCAGCCAAACCTTTATCCCTCAAGTCCAGCCGTTCCCCGCCTCCCACCTCCAGCTAAAGTGCTCCTCCCGGACACCCCACCCCCGGCCTCCTGCTCCCACTTTCCTCGGCACTCCTTCGCCTGATGCACTCACTCTCTCCACCCCCAGCCACCCTGCTCAGGTCTCCTCCTGCGCGGACGCCTCCTCAGCAGCAATCTTCTCTCTCGTCTCTCCTACCCCTGGAGCCTTCGGGCTTCACCACTCCGAGGCCGCCCATAAGAACTCACCGCGCGGGGCCGGAGGTCGAGGGCCCGGGAGAGGAGCCCGAGAACCCGGGCCGCGGCCGCTCCAGCAGCTGTAACAAACCAGCGGCGGTAGCCACCCCGCTGGCAGCTCTGGCCGAATCAGCTCCCTGAGCCGGGCCCCGTGACGTCACTGCCACGCGCCTAAACACATTGCGCCTCTTGGGAAGTGTAGTTTCTACGCTGCCTCTTCACCCGCCCGCCCGAGGCCTCCTGGGAGTTGTAGGCTTTTCCCTGTGCTGAATCTCCCAGCTCTCCGCGAGCTGCTGAGCTGCCGCAAGCGCGGCAGAACGTCTCACCCTGACGCAATAGTGAGATCAGGTGGAGTCTCTTTGGTGCGTAACAATCCCAGCTTTTGCATCTGCGCCCTTCTAGAGATGCACAAACGGTTTGCCCAAGCTCTTATTTTACAGACGAAGAGACTCAGAGTTTTAAGTAACTTGCAATAAAACAGTGCTGAGATAGTCTGACCGTAAGTGCAGTTTTCTCCACTAAACGTCGCAGACTGACACTAGAAGCCGAGAAGCACAGCCTTTTGTCCTGAAGGAGCCCCACCCACCCATCCCCACTCGGGATCACATTTTCAGAACCTTGGTTGGGGTGCATGTCTGTAGGATAGAGACTGCGGGCATCATTGGTACACCTGGTCGCTACACTTAATCCTTGCTGGCGTGGGTCTGGCCGCATCCTGGATCTCCCCGCATCAGATTTCAGATGGAATGTGTGTCATAGGATGAGTGTAAGGAGCTTTGAGTTTCTGTCTCAGGTTAGCGTGTGTGGCTTTAGGTATATGAGCCTCCGGTCTACAATTTTCATGTCTTGAAGCTAAAGAGAAGAGCACTGACTTTACTCCTAGGTACTTACAATGCAGGTATGCCTTTATTGACAGTGTAATCCTGGGCAAATGACTCGTATTAATCTCAATTCCACAGCTGTGAAAACCTACCTCTAAGGGTGGTTTGATGTTTCAAAAGAATGTAATATAAAGCACCTATTACACTGTAGGAACTGAACTAAATAGGTCTTAAGCTCTTCTGGGCCACTCCCACTGTCCACGTCAATAAGAGGGCTTCCTTTCGGTTGTTTCCACTTCCCCCGCCTATCTCTCTAAGTCCTGTGCCCTTAAGTCCTGGCACGGCTGGAATGACAGGATCAGATGTTAATAGATGTCGACCGGCCAGCTGTAAATGCACGATGAACCGAATGTGCAGGGACAGGAAGGAGAACGCCTGCCCAGACAACCTGGGAGCGTTTTTTTTTTTTTTTTTTTTTTTTTTTTTCATTAGACACCCATCCTCAGGGAGCTGCCAGGAAATGGTTGTCTCAAGGCTGGAGTGGAAGCCCTGGGAGCAAGTAGTGAGTGTACATTTGACCTAGGCAAAGCAGAATTAGGCAGCTTCTCAAATATTGCCAGAGCCAGAGGTCATTTAGATCCTGGTATCTAAAAAATGATCCTAGTTGCTGAAAAAGCCTCAGAGAGACCTGCTGAACCTTCCTGATTCCCCTCTGGGATTCTCCCGTTGTCCATCAAGTTGGTTGAGCTCTTTGCCAGTTGGCTGGATCTTTGCCAGTTTTCTCACATGTCTGTGAAGATCAGACAGGGTCTACATCTCAACAAGGCACTCTGACTTATGTAGTCTATTGGCAAGGTCACTGGACATGTCATGGCCTATTAATAACTCCTGTTATCAAGTTGTTTTTCACAATGAGAATGGACAAAGTTCCAGCTCTGTCTGCCTTGCAGTAAGTTGTGGATCACATTCCACCTGAGTTAGCTGGAGTCCCTGTCATCATCATCGTGAGTTCTCTGATCTCATAAGTCTTCAGCAGACATCCTGCAGCTGTGATAGCCTGAGCACTATTCAGGATGAGTGGAAGTACTCTCATATGGTACCAGAGAACATGCAATCCCTTGGACAAGAATTGGCACTGTATGCCAAGGAAAGAAACTGTCCATGCCTCGAAGGCATGATTGTACTTCCCATATCACATTCTAAGAAAGTGAACCCATGCACATGACAATGTCCAGCAATGTCCATAGTAGTAATATCCTGAGAGCAACCTAAATGCCCAAGAAAAAAGTGAACACTCTATCCACACTGGTTAGAAAAATGTGAAACCATTTGTGGTTGTAGAAACTACGTGTCAGCATGGGAAAACACTTGCCAGGTTATATGAAGAGATAAAGATAGAGACTAAGAATTTCTCAGTATAGCATTAGCAAAATCTAGATCAAGGGAAATGTGAACCTGATAGTGAGTGCCTGTCATCCCAGCGTCTGGAAAGCAGGAACAGGAAGCTCACAGATTGGAAGTCAGCCTGAGGAGCACAGTGAGTTCTAGGACAGCCTTGGCTACATAACAATTTGCTCTATTTGAAACAAAAGTGCTAGTCAAAAAAAAAAAAAAAATCTAGGGCTATCAAGACAGTTCGGTGGGTAAAAGCCCTTGACACACAAGCCTAGCCACCTGAGTTCAATCCCTGGAACCCATGGTAGAAGGGGAGACCCCGCTCCCCAGTGTTGTCCTCTGACTCTGAGAGTGTTCACACATGCGAACACATCTACACACAATAATAATATGCATATTAAGACTCTACTGTATTATTCAGAGATATGTAATACATACATATGTATATATGTGTAATTTATATAGTTGTATATCACACACACAAATGAGAGGGGAAAGCCAGGTGTAGTGGCACATTCCTTTAATCCCAGCACTTGGGAGGCAAAGGCAGGCAGATCTCTGTGAGTTTGAGGCCAGCCTGGTCTAAATAGTGAGTTCAAGGACAGCCAAGACTAAGTAGAGAGACTCTGTCTAAAGAGATAAAGAGACCCTGTCTCAAAAAAATATGAGATAGATATGTTCTAAACTATTTGTGGATTGAATGACATAATACCTGGATTTACTACAAAATGATATGGACTGGAGACATTGAAAAACAATAAATAATTATCAGCCAAAAGCTGGTACTTATTAAAACTGAGCACAGTGGTAACTATTAAAACTGGGTGATAGGGTCATGAGGTTCCTCATATTATTTTCCCTATTTCAATGTTTAAAATTGTCCATAATAAAATGATTTTGTAAATCTGAATATGAATTCATGAATATGCTAAGCAAAACTAGAGTGATCTAACATCCGGCTCAGTTCTCTGCTCCTTTGGCTACCAGCTATGTGACCTTAAGCAAGTCTCTGAACCTCTCTGCCTCAGTTACCTCACTTCTAAACAGAGAAGGTAATGTTCACGCAGCCTCATTCATTGATCTTAGGATCAATAGGGTCGATAAATGTAGAGAACTTGGGACCGTCCCTGGCACATAGCTAAGTGCTCAGTGCAGGTCTGCTGTTAGTCTTTTCCAGGTTGGAGTGATGTTGAGACCTTTGCTAGACTATGGAACATCAACAAGGGAAGAGAGACCTTATACTAGGATGGACAGACTCAGGGCCATCTTTTCATTCTCTACTTTAAACCTCTATGTAATGATCTTACTTTTAAATATTTTATGAAATGTGTGTTTTTAAATATCACAAGCGCTCCCTGCCCTGTGCAGGCTGTTCAGTCAGCTGAGATATACGCATTCCTCAGCCTTGAAGAGTGAATCCATCTAGGGCTGGGGAGGCCCTGCTTGTGACAGACACACATAGGTGACTAGGCTGGCCACCTGCACACAGACAGGGAGCACGTTGGTTGAAAGAAAGCCACAGCGGAGGCTGGGAAGAGGGTCATTGGGAAGTGGAGACCCCTATGCCCTGTCAACTGGGGCACTGGGCCACAAATGTCACCCCTTCCTCTGCCGCTCCCCACCTCAGCCCCTACTTCCTTCAAAATGCAAGGAAGGAAAGAGCTATGTGCAGTTGTTTGTGCGTTTGTTTGGGTGTAGACATCCTAGGACTGGGGAGAATGGACCTGGAAGGTTGGCTATCATGGGCTGCAGAGGGCAAAGACTACCTGGCCAGTCCTCTGGGCCCCCAGCCATTGTCTGGGAACCAGAACCCCTCCCTCTGGGAACCAAGGGCAGAAAGACACCTTCAGGAACTCTTTAATCTGCCTATTCCTTGATGTGACCCACAGACATTCTTTCTCAGAATTGAACACAGTTGAGAACAATGGATAGCTTGCAGAACCAGAGGACAGGGGATATAAAATCCAGTAGCTTCACGACTAGACCTGCGCTGGTGCCCTCCCAACTGAACTCCTGCTCCTAGGAGGCCTCACCTAGCTAGAAATTCTGGGTGGCCTCCACTCCTCCCCCTGCCAGAAGCCAGCCCCTCTTGTAGGAAAGATCTCAACAAATGTTGCTGGGTGCTCACTATATTTCCAGGGCAAAGTGCTTTATGTGTGCAGACTTGCAGCTCCGTTTCCGGGCTTAGACTGCTTGCTTTGAGTTTTAACTCGTGTAATTACATTTCCTGCACAGAACAGAGTTGACAAATTTCCTGCACACACACGAATCCCAGAACTCAGTTGCCCGGTAGGACTGTCATTTCCAGAACACACTAGCAACTCTCTTGATTTCACCTCGGTCTCTAATCCCTGTCCACTGTCTTTTCCATCTCACAGGTCCCTAGTCATCCTTAAAGCCTCACTCAGCTGTTACCATTGCTGTGGGGCCTTCCCCTGTGCCCAGGTGATGCCCGCCACTCCATCCTCCTGGTTCCTCAGACACTTCAGGACAGGAGAGTGCCTACCCCTAGGAGAGCCACACTGAGACAGGATACAAAGACCAGGGAAATTGCTGGATAGTGGTTCACACCTTTAATTCAAGCTCTTAGGAGGCAGAAGCAGGTGGAGCTCTGTGAGTTCAAGGCCAGCCTAGTCTACAGAGGGAGATCCAGGACAACTGGGGCTACACAACACAGTGAAACCCTGTCCTGAAGGAAAAAAGGAGAGAGAGAGAGAGAGAGAGAGAGAGAGAGAGAGAGAGAGAGAGAGAGAGAGAGAGAAATCTTAGGAACACAAAAAGGAAAAGGACCCCCTCAACCCAGGTATCTACACTTCTCACAACAATTCAGCACGAATCCCAGCACAAGTAATTAGCACTGAAGACCATCCTCACTTCCCAGCTGAAACCCTGCAATTTCCCAGGAATCTCACCTGAAATCCCATTCACAGGGCAAGGACATGTGCCAGATCCTGTGCGGCCCTGATTGCTCCTGCTGCCACCGTATCAGATTATAATTTCCGCTAAGTCTCTCTGGAG